AAAAACTAGCCGGGCGAGGTGGCGGGCGCCTGTAGTCCCAGCTACTCGGGAGGCTGAGGCAGGAGAATGGCGTAAACCCGGGAGGTGGAGCTTGCAGTGAGCTGAGATCCGGCCACTGCACTCCAGCCTGGGCGACAGAGCGAGACTCTGTCTCAAAAAAAAAAAAAAAAGAAGAAGAAAAAAAAAAAGAAATCCTAACCCATGGTACTATGTACATGACCTTATCTGGAAAAAACATATTTTTTATTACACCTTTGCAGATGTAATCAAGGTAAGATGAAGTCATTAGGGTAGACCCTTAATTCAGTATGACTGGTGTCCTTACAAGAGAAGAGACACAGAGACACAGGGAGAATGCCATGTAATGACAGAGATTGAAGCGATGTGGCTGCAAGCCAAGGACTGCTGCCAACAGGAGCAGCTAAGAGAAAGGCATTAATAGATTCTCCCCTAGAGCCCTCAGAGAGAACATGGCCTGTTGACACCTTGATTTTTGACTTCTAGCCTCCAGAACTGTGAGAGAATAAATTACTGTTGTTTTAAGCTGTTGTTTGTTACATCAGTCCTAGGAAACTAACACAACCCTGTATATCAATTTGGGGAGAACTGATTTCTTTACTATGCTACATTTTCCAATCCATAAACACAGTCTGCCTCTCCATTTGTTTAGATCTTCTTTGATTTCTTCAGCCTTCTGTAGTTCCCAGCTTACAAATCCTATACATGTTTTGTTAGATTTATAGCAAAATATTTTTGTCTTTTCTTTTTGAACAAGTGTAAATGGTATTGTACTTTTTATTCTGGTGTCTATGAAGTCATTGCTAATATAGAGAAATACAATTGATTGTATACCCTGACCATACTGAACTCACTTATTAGTTCAAGAGTTTTGTTTTGTTTTTAAAGATTCCTTTGGATTTTCTACGTAGACCATTATATCATTTGCACATAAGGACAGCTTTATTTCTTCCTTTCTGATCTTTATGCCTTTTATCTTTTTTTCTTGCCTTATTGCAATGGGTAGAACTTTCAATGTTGAATAAGAGTAGATGGAGCAGTTATCTTTGTCTTGTTCCCAGTCTTGAAAGGATTTAGTTTTTCACCATTAAGTATAATGTTAGCTGGAGAATTTTTGTAGATGTAGATACTCTATCAAGTTAAGAAAGTTCTTCTCTGTTCCAGTTTTCCTGAGAGTTCTTATCAAAATGAGTGTTGAATCCTGCCAAATGCCTTTTCTGCGTCTAGATGCACACAGTAACATGCAGACACCACATTCGCTCCCTCAGAAAGCTCACCACTCTCCTAGTCTCATCCATTCATTCAACAAATATTTATTGAGTGCCCTAACAATAAATAAAAGACCATCTCTGCCCTCATGGGGCTTACCATTTAGGGAGGAAGACGGACAAGTTGATTGCAATACAATGTGATAACGTTATTAGAAGGATAAGCCCAGAGTGCCACAGGCATGCAAAGGTAGGACTCTTAACCCAGAGGAGAGGTGAGGGCATGGGAGGGCAAGGGCAGGATCGGTGAATGTGCTTCAGAGCAGGTTGCCTCTAAGCTGAGTCTATGAGAGGAGGAGGAGTTTGTGAGGACAAGCTCTGGAAGAGGGAGTGCTTTCTGGTACAGAGATGACAGAGTTTGGTTGTGTCAGAATGACTGGTTTATCATTCTGGGTAAAAAGGGGAGAGGCTCAAGGAGTATATGGGCACTGCACCATAAGCAGGGAAGTGGTGATACTATCTATCTAAGCAGTCTGTGCTTTGTTCCAAGGACCCTGGGGAGACACTGAATGTTTTAAGCAAGAGTAAGACAGAGACCCAATCCTATTTGCACTTTAGAAAAATGGATGTGGCAGTATTTTAGAGAATGAAATGGTGGAGGACAAACTAGAGATACAGTGGCCAGTTAGGAGCCTATTGTCGCAATTCAGGTGAAAGAGATTGGACTGCCTAAACCAGATAATGGCATCGGGAACAAAGAAGGAAAGGCTGTGAGAGACATTAGGGAAGTGGCATTGACAGGACTTTGAAGGGCTTATGTAAAGATTGAGGGAAGTGTCAGGAAAAGAGAGTGGTTACAGATAACTCCCAGATTACTAGCATGGTCTTGCCATCCAATAATATTGGGAATCCAGTAAGAGGAGCAGGCCCGCCTGAGGAAAAAGAGAAGGAGTGTGATTTTGGATGTTCATTTTAGCTCCCTATGGGACAGCCTTGTGGGTACTGACGTCCAGTTGAAGGTTGAACACCGAAATCTAGAGCTCAAGAAAGAGATAGAGATGTGGGAGTCATTGGTGTATTAGCAGTGGTTGAATCCATGAGAGGGATGAGGTCTCCCCAAAAGAATGGGTAGAAGGAGAAGGGAAGAAGACTGAGGAGGAGCCCAAAAGACGACAAAAGTATCAGAGAGGTGGGAAGAGAGTGACTAGAAAGTGATGTTGCTCAACCCAAGAGCAGAGAAGGTAGACTGTAATATCAAATGCTTTCTCAGGGTATGTTTCCCTAAAACTAATCTATGTCCCTGGCCTTTTCTGTTTTCCCACACCTTCTCTCCAACTGCTCAACAGGCAGCTCCAGGTGTGTATTTTGTCCCCTCAAACTCAACATGAATAAAGCAAATATTAATCTTTTTCTTATCCCATCTGTAAGCCATTTTCCTTCCTATGAGTGCTACCTCCATTTTTCCAGGCTCCAGACCACAAATGTTGGAGTCATCTTTGTCTCTTCTCTTACGGCCCCAAGACCCCTTTCTATTTTTGGTTCCCATTATTTCGTTCTTCCATATCTCTAAATTCTCCTCCCTCCCCATACACTTACTCATCGTTGACATCATCACTGCCCTCTATCTGAAAATGTTAATGACCTAGATCACACCAACAGCCAACTTACTCTGTCCCTATCCCTGCCTCTTTAATATTGCAATCAGTTTCCATTCATCTTTCTTACAGGATTTTTCCAGAGCCACTTTTCAAGCCACATGATTATGCTTTAAGGAGGTACCTCATTGTCCATCGCCCCAACCAACATTTTGTCAGTCTGATTAGAAGATATTTTGAGAAGTAAAATCTGCTCTTAAAGAGAGAAGCATTGCCTTACTTGGGGACAGTCAGAAGGCTGTGATACAGCTTTCACTTTGAGCAGTAGAGCACATTTAGATTCTCAAGAAGAATGTATTCAAAGGGACAAAGGGATGAGGCAATGTAGGCTGTCATGTATTTCTTTAAAAATAAAGTTACCTTACTTTATAGATACACCTCAAATAATTGGTACCATATGGTATGGCCCTCCCATGTGGTCTCATTGTTTGTGTATGTCAGCTTTGTCTGGGACAGAATCCAATTTTCTTTTGTATATTCATGGAATCCATTGATTTCTGCAATCAGCAGTTCCCTAAAAGGCTAAACTTGCTATTGAAAATAATTATGTTACAGTTGCATTCCAAAGACAATTTAGAAAGGAATGCAAATCTGTTGACAGAAAATGGCTCACAAATCAGACATTTTCTTTTTCTTTTTTCTTTTACAGCCTGACTGAAAGTTTCGGTTCAGAAGACAGTTTGGAATTCCTTTTAGATGATGAAATGGACTTTGATTTGGTAACTAGATTATATTTGCTGGTTTAAATATTGTGTTTGGTGAAAAATATTGATGATCATTTATTCTTTTGAAATTAAAATATTTCATTCAAAATATTGCACAAAACCTTCCAGAAAGAAATATAATTTTGATACTATTCTCCAATTGGATATGTAGTTTATCTTTGTCATAAGACATTTTATAAGTATCTAGAAGAAGGTAATGATTTAGGATATATATATTTTATATATATATATATATATAAAATCAACAATCTTCTGGTAAAAATAGCCACTTTCTGATTGCATTTTATTGGGACTTGTGATGTATTGGGTAGCTGAACCATAAAATAAACAGGCCTTCAACAAAACAACCCTTTATTGCTGCAAGATTGACTTTGAGCTTACATCACCCTAAATGCAACCACAGAAACTCAAAAGGGACAACAAATACCATTCATTGTTGTATATTACACACTTTACCCAAGTCATCTTTTTTAAAAATTGTGACAAACAAACATATAAAAAATTTACCATTTTAGCCATTTTAAGCGTGCAGTACCGTAGTGTCAACTATAAGCAACAGATCCCTAGAACTTTCCGATTCTGCAAAACAGAAACTCTATACTCATTAAACAACTCCTCTTTTCTCCCTCCCATGGCCCCTGGCAACTGCCATTCTACATTCTGTTTCTAAGAGTTTTACTATTTTAGATACCTCATATAAGTGGAATCACTCAGTATTTGTCTTTTTGTGCCCGGCTTATTTTACTCAGCATACTGTACCCAAGGTTCATCTATGTTATAGCACATGACAGGATTTCTTTCCTTTTTTTTTTTGAGACGGAGTTTCACTCTTGTTGCCCAGGCTGAAGTGCAGTGGCATGATCTTGGCTCACTGAAACCTCTGCCTCCTGAGTTCAAGCAGTTCTCTGCCTCAGCCTCCTGAGTAGCTGGGATTACAGGCATCCACCACCATGACTGGCTAATTTTTGTATTTCTAGTAGAGACGGGGTTTCACCATCTTGCTCAGGCTGGTCTTGAACTCCTGACTTCATGATCTACCTGCCTCGGCCTCCCAAAGTGCTGGGATTACAGGTGTGAGCCACTGCACACGGCCGATTGCTTTCCTTTTGAAACCTGAATAATATTCCATTGTATGTGTACACTACATGGACTTCATCCATTCATCTATTGATGGACATTCAGGTTGCTTCCATGTCTTGGCTATTGTGAATAATGAGGAACATGGGTGTGCAAATGCCCAAGTCATTTTTTAAAAAAATGTTTAAGGTAACACATATAAATATAAAATAATTAAAATGTGGGGAGAAAATGACTTTCACTCAGCCTCCTGTCATCTTCTATTCCTTCTCCCTTTCCCTTTTTCCTGCACTTGCCTCCTCTTCTGCCTTTTCCTCGCCCTCTTCTTCCTTTTTTCTTCCCCATCCCTTTTTTAATATCCTTATCTCCCCACAACACTTCAAATGTGCTCTTTCTGAGAGCCAGCTCTCACTTGGAAATAGACGAGTTTCCCATACAAATCCCTACCTGCGTCTCCCTCATGCTTAGAAATACCTTCCTTTACCCCACTATATTTTCTAGATAAGTCACATGTGCATAGGTAGCGTATTTTTAAGTAAATTATATTCTTCATTATTGATTAATTAGGAGCCAGCGCTTTATTTCAAGGAACCAGAGGAGTTACTTCAAGTCCTCAGAGAGCTGGAAGAGCAGAATCTTACTTTGTTTCAATATTCCCAAGATGTAGATGAAAATCTTGAAGAGGTAAACAAAAGAGAAAAAGTTATACAGGATAAAACGTAAGTCATTATAAACAAGTATATTTATTCCATTAAGCAATTTCTAACCAGAGGCTGGGTCCAACTCATCCACATGTGGCTCTTCCTCGTGGTCTCTGTGAATGTAGGCTGGGGTTTTTAATAGTTTACATTGTGGAGTGCAAACGGTAGATGTCACATTTACACAGAATAGACTGGCTTTAATTTTGTCCCTACTTCCTTTCACTTGTCAACATATTTTCCTAGCTAGTAACAATAAAAGATATTTTGAAAAAAGACTAAAAAGAATTAAAATGGTACCTACTGCCTTAACTTTTGTCCAGTGTAGTTTTCACCCTCTTGGCTAGCTGTCATTTACTTTACCAAATCATGCTGTGGATGATAATGCTAACAGATGTATTGTCACTGGCCATGACTCTCAAAAAAAAATTTTTGTGATTAAATATTATATCATTTTATAAAGTTCCTGTCAAGATATCAGGGCAAATATAGAAAGGATTTCTGTCAGGGGAAAGCGGCTGGATTTGATCCCTCACAAAATTCCTTCCTCATCTAAAAATATATAATATTACAAACTTGAAAAAGAGTTGAATTACAGAGAATAGATCTTTATATCTACTCATTGCAAAAATGTGTAGAATCTTTTTTTTCAGAAAGTTTTCTGGGCCAGAAGATGAAAAATCTTTTTAAACAATAGGTCAAACTACATTTAACTTCAAGACAAATTAATTTGCTCAGAAGGTAAGAACCTAAAAATCATTATCTCACAGCTACCCATTATCATCTGTGAGACTTTTTAATCCTTGTATCTTTTCCAGTCCTCACAGTGTCTGGTGGCCCTCCACCCACCTCCACAATAAGATTTTCTGGGACAGGGTGGGTGCAGGTGGTCAGGAAAGGGTGATCTATAGAATCCATCTCTAGAGGATCTTATCAGAATCTCTAGGTGAGGGAGTTAGGAGTCTATATTTTCCCTCTTGGCTCCCCAGATATTCTGATTATCAGCCACATTTGAGAACACTGGGTTCCTGATGCCTCCGCTCTGCTGCTATTTGGGGGAACTCAAGGGGAACCACAAAAGTAGGGGAGGGGAAGCAAATGCCTTCTGATGGAAGTTAAAAGCAGGATTTGTGCATGTATTTTTCTCATTTTAACTTGAAAAGTTGCATGTACTTTGGCAATGTCTTCAAATACAGGCTTGTATTTGGCTCACTACATGGATTTTGACACATGATCTAGAGTGTTGAAGCTCCTGACTGATGGCTATTTCACTAACCACAAATTTCAGATGAGGGTCTCTTTCTTCTTTTGCAATAGAAATAGCAACATAGAGTTTCTTTTGGAGCAAGAAGAAATGCTTAAAGCTAATTGTGTGAGAGAAGAGGAGAAAGCAGCAGAATTGCAATTAAGGTCCAGGCTCTTTAGCTTTGGAGAATTTAATTCAGATGCTCAGGTAATCACTCTTTGCCTATGTCGATTTCATTTTGGCTCATGATTGTAATTTTTATTCCCTGTGTCCTAAGTATGTGAATAGGGGAGTTAAAGCAAATCACAAGTCCTAGATTGACGACAGAAGTGGAAAGCCAGCTTGGAATTTATCTTGCCAGTATGTAATAGCCAATGTACATAGGCAGAAAGCATTCAAATTGGCATTGGAGTTCTCTTAAAACGTTGCTTTATTACAATCCGTGATATTGACCATAGTTTCCCCTTGAAATACATTTATTTTAGTCAGAGCCTAGACATATGTAGTAGTTCACTGTGTGTTATCATTTTGGTGGTAATTCAAGGAGTAATTAACAGAGGAAGTAGTGAATCAACACAATTAACAGGGACTCAACACTGACTAGAAAATTTTCCCAGCACCGAGCCTGTACTAGATTTCTGCCTTTTCAGGCCTGTGTAGACTCATTATCAAAACAGCTGTGATGTGTGCTAGTACACTTACTTATTGAGAAGTTCATCTCTCAGCTAGATGCAAACCCCCTCGAGGGCAGGGATTAACTTATTAGTCTTAGTTCAGTTGAGGGTCCCCTTAAAAGTTGGTGCTCAATAAATGTTTATTGAACGAAGGATTAGGTTAGCTTTTAGACCCACAACCAGCTCCATCTAACATTGAATACCTTATAGAAACCTCAAATGAAATAAAAATTCAAAGCTAACATAGGAGGCTAACATTGTTCTGAGACCAAACTGAGGGTCAGGCTGCTGTTTCTCGTGGCCTAATAATGAGATGCAGATTAACAGGGGAGGAAGAGAGTTTTGATTTCTGTAACTAGTTACAGGGAAAAGGCCTGGAAATTATTGCCAGACCAACTCAAAATTACAGTTTTCCAGAGCTTATATACCTTCTAAGCTATATGTCTATGTGTAAGTGTGCATTCATCTAAAGACGTAAGTGATTAACTTCTTCTCATCTATAACTAAGGTCTGAGTCCTGAAGACCTTCCTCTAGAGCCTCAGTAAGTTTACCTAATCTAAATGGGTCCAGGTGCTGGGGTGATTACCCTTATCTTGTCTCCTGCTAAATCAGGGAGGTTTAGGTAGTTCCTTCAGACCCCCAGTAAACTTGTTTGTGGAGGCCTGGGGAGTTTCTTCACCCCCAATAAAACTTGCTTAATCCTAAATGGGTCCTGTTAAGAATTCCTTCATTATTTTGTCATACTTTAAGGCCCAGGAAAGGCCTAGGCAAAACTCTTGGTGGGCTTTTGTTACATTCCAGCCTTTGTATAGGGGCACTGGCTTTCAATATTGAACTTAACCACTCAGTCAGTACTGAAACGGTTGTTATGGAAGCCTGCGTTAGTGAGACTGGCCTGCCACCACATCACATTTATGGATGTGAACTTGATTTTCAAACAGAGGTTGAACTGGGGTAACTGCATCAGAAGAAGACTGTCCTCCCTTACCCACAGGTGAACAGGGTTACAAAAAGCACAAGCTGTTTATGGCTCCTACACACACACACACACACACACACACACACACACACACACACACTTTCCTAGGGGGTTATAGTGCCATGAGTTAGTAGGGGATGGGATTGTGCATTGCCGGAGCCAAGAAGTGTGATGATAGCCACCTTTCAATTCAGTCACACACACACACACACACACACACACACACACACACACACACACACACACACACACTTTCCTAGGGGGTTATAGTGCCATGAGTTAGTAGGGGATGGGATTGTGCATTGCCGGAGCCAAGAAGTGTGATGATAGCCACCTTTCAATTCAGTGCTGTTTTTTTCCTAACCATTTTTTTAAAACTGTGGTACAATATACATAACCAAATTTACCACTTACCTATTTTAAGCATGCGATTCGATGGCATTAAGTACATTCTCAATGTTGTGGAACCATCACCACTATTTCCACAACTTTTTCATCATCTTTTCAACATAAAAATCTAACATCTTAACCATTTTTAAATGTACGGATCAGTAGTGTTAAGTACATTCACGTTGTTTTGCAATCTCCAGAACTCTTCATCTTGCAAAGCTGAAATTCTATACCCATTAAACAATAACTTTCCATTCCTCCCTCCCTCTCCTAGCCCTTGGAAACCACCATTTTACTTTCTCTCTGAATTTGACTATTCTAGGTACGTCACAAAAAAAGAATCATACAATATTGGTCCTTTTGTGTTTGGTTTATTTCATTTAGCATGTTTTCAAAGTTCATCCATGTTGTAGCATGTATCAGGATTGCATTATTTTTATGGCTGAATAATATTCCATTGTATGTTTATACCATATATTGTTTATTCATTCATCTATTGATGGACACTTGAGTGGTTTCCACACTTCAACTGTTTTAAATAATTCTGAAACCAATTGACATGCAAAATGTCTGATAAATATTTGTGATATCTCCCCTCCTCCCTGCCCCACCCCAACTAAGCCCCTTTCATCCAAATTTGGTGCAACTATTAAAAAATAAAAGTGGCATTTTTGATACTCTTTAACATTGAGGCAACCAGATACCTAAAGAAAGAAAGTAGAATTGACATAAAATTCCTTTTAAAATGGCTATCCATGAAATTTTGATCGCAAGTACAAATTTGGCATTCATGTATTGCACACTCTGGAGAAGTGGGACTAATAATCCGTAGTGTCTTCTAGAGATGTGAAATGGGGGGGTGGGGAGGGGGAGGCGAATCAGGAAAATTGGGAGGGAAGGTATTCTTAGGATTTTTTGCTTCTCTGCCTCCATTTTTTTTCAGATCTCAGAATATACAAAACATAATCCTTGGAGTAAATTTAACTGCAGCTCATTTTTTAAGTTTCTTTCCCAGCTTTATTGAGGTATAACTGACATATCTGATTGTGATATTCACAAGTTATGTTACTCTGGAGCTATCAGTATGAAATGAAATTTATTCTTTCAAAACTTCCACACTCTTAATGACACTTAATCCCCTAAAAATTTTGCCCTTGATCCAGTATTTTACTTTTAAAATAAAATTTTAAGTTCAAGTACAATGTAATGTTGAGAAGTACACAAATCACAAGTGTACCTCTCAAGGAATTTCCTCAAAGCAAACACACCCGTGTGCTACCCCCCAGATCAGGGAATACACCATTATCAGCCCCTGCAAACCTTCCTCACACCTGCTTGCAGTCTTTCCCAGCCCTCTTTCCCACCGTCCTGACCTCTCATGCCATCAATCAGCTTTCCTGTTTTTGAACTTTATTGGAATGGAATCCTGTAACATGTCTGGCTTCTTTCTCTCAACACTATGTTTGTGAGATTCATCCATGTTGTTTAGTGTAGCAGTTGTTAGTTCTTCACCGAACATGAAATGGAACATAAACTGCTCCATTGTTCAATTTGAGGAATGTGTTTATCTCTGGTTTTACTGTTTTCTTTGCACAAGGAGCCGATGAGTTGCAATTGAGAGAACTGTGTACAGTCAACACACAGAATGTGATATGGATTAGAATGACAGAACCCTTGAGTTTGAAAAGACTTTCATTGACATCTAGATATCCATCCCCGGCTTCCCCTCTCCAGTTTTGATACAATGATTCCTCCTAAAACACTGCTCTGGTCATATCACTTCCCATTCACTGTTGAAAGGCACCTGAAGTTCTCTGCTATCAGTCTTCCATAATTCCTGTCCCATTTACCCGGGCATACGCTCTTGACAGCTCCTAGGTACGGTGGGCTGGGCCTGCCATCTGGGGGCAGTTCCAGGGATGGGGCTGAAACTTCCCTTCGCTGTCGTCAATTGGCCTGTGCCTTGTGCTCCCTTTTCTTTGCCTTTTTGCTTTGTCAGGCCAGGCTCTCAATCCCTTTTTCATACGTGAATACCTTCATTCATCCCATTCTCCTCTCCTGTCTCCTATATCTTGTTCTTACCTTGTGATCTTAAGGAAATATCTCTTCTCGCCATTTTCTCTCCTCTTAGAAGAGGGAATTTAAGAAAAAAAGGGGGAGGGGGCAGTGGTGTAGAAAAGACATCGGAAAAAGCCACTGCCCTGCTCATCCATCTCTAAAGCCATCTAAGTGTTCAACAGGTCTCCTTCAGAAATTTCCATCAACTAGCAACCACTCTCATCTTAAAGTTATTTTTCCTCAAAACCAGTGGTGAATATATTTTTAAAGTATTTTTCTCTGCTTTATTTAGTGACTCACGTTGCAGCAATGTTGTTTTCATATGCAATTTACAATATTTCAATCCGATGGGTTACTTTTATTTTCTTTTATATTTTTCTATGTCTCCAAGGTTTAGAAAAAGAACGTGCTGTTACATAAATAAGAAACATAGTGTTATTTTAGAGAAAGGGGAAAAGGGAAATTTATGGCCAATATAGGACTTTTGCTGTTTTCTATTATTATGTATTTCTCCAAGTTTTCTAAAAGGATCATGTCATTCATGTAAATAGGAAATATAATGAGTGTTACCTTACGAAGGTAAAAAGGAGCTTTATGCTAAACAGGACCATCAGAAAGCTTTTTAAGCTAGGAGGTGGAAGAGAAAAGCTGTTGGAAGTACACTCTTGATATCATATCTTGGGTTGTAATTGTGTTGGTGGCTCTGTAAGGTGTTCATGGTGCCAGGAAGGGCTTCCCATGGCTCCAGGAGCCACATCTGTCTTGAGAGTTATTTGTCGCTGGATTTATGGTGATGCTCATCTTCTTGAGCGGAAGCAGGAAATGGGGCAGAATACTACCTAGAGAGTGATTCACACTGCCTAGCAGTTTGTTGAGCTCCTCTTAATTGCAAACACCGGGTTCACAATGGTGAAAGAGGATGACAATTTTCTTACGGTCCTGAGACAAGTTACCTACCACCTTAAGAATCTCCACCTACAGTTAAAACGGCACAGTGTCGAGGTACGGGGATCAGCAAGGTTTGGCCTAAGCTTTTGTTTAGACTAGAATACTGCAACGGCTTCCCAACGAAAACAGTGAAAATGATACTTCTAAAAAGGCTTTAGTAGGCCAGCCTGGTTACCTGTTTGCTTGCAACTTTTTTTTTCTGAGAGAATGCATTCAGTCATTTATTCAGCAAACATTTATCCAGTGCACAGTTATATGCAAAGCACTGTTTTAGTCGTAAGTTTAAGCATAAGATGTAGCTCCTGCTCTCCTGGTCTATAAGGATAAGGCAGAGAACTATCATATAGGATGATTATAGTTTCACAATTATAACAGAGTAATATATGCAAAAAAGAAGGGAACTGGGTTACATATTGTGCCAAAAGGAAATGCATCTGAGCGGCAAAAAACGATTTAAAATGTTTGTTGCCTCTATTTGAATTCTTAGGGAGTCAGATATACAAAATCATTCAAGCAAAAAATATTCTGCCCATTATAATTACTTTTTATATCTAGAGTTCAATATATTTTAAGAAAATAATCCAAGGTGTTACTATAGTAATGCTCTGACTATAAATTATGATATAAGTTAAATGTCACTGCTGCATTTTCTCAATGATCTGTTTTATTAAAACTTCTCCTTTAAAAAAGTAAACATCAGGCCAGGCACAGTGGCTCACGCCTGTAATTCCAGCACTTTGGGAGGCCAAGGCAGCCCGATCACCTGAGGTCAGGAGTTCGAGACCAGCCTGGCCAACATGGTGAAGCCCCATCGCTACTAAAAATACAAAATTTAGCTGGGCGTGGTGGCGCATGCCTGTAATCCCAGCTACTTGGGCGGCTGAGGCACAAGAATCGCTTGAACCTGGGAGGCGGAGGTTGCAGTGAGATGAGACTGCACCACTGCACTCCAGCCTGGGTGACAGAGCGAGGCTCCATCTCAAAAAAAAAAATAATAATAAAAAAAGTAAACATTTAATAGCATATACATGGGTTTTTACTGTAATATAGTAAAATGGTATTATATATTTATTGAATGTGCAATGTGATGTTAATGTTTTCTGCTCTTCTCAATCTCAGGAAATACTGATAGACTCACTTAGTAAAAAGATTACTGAAGTATACAAAGTCTGCATTGGGGATGCTGAGGATGACGGCCTCAACCCAATTCAAAAGCTGGTAAAAGTAGAGTCTCGCCTGGTAGAACTGTGTGATCTCATCGAATCCATTCCCAGAGAAAATGTGGAGGCAATTGAGAGGATGAAACAGAAAGAACGGCGGCAAAAGTATATTCAATAAGGATAAGAATGACTTAATGAGTAGCTGGTTTTGCTCAGATTCCACAAACACATTAGCAAGTCTCTTGTGTAATGCCATATTATAGGGACACAGTGAGGAGGAATGAAATCCAGCCCTGCTCTCCTCATACAGCTATTATTTAGCGTGGAAGACACATTCATCAAATATTCTTAGGAAATAAATGTGTCATTACCAATGGTAATGAGCACTGCGAAGGAAGGAACTGGGTGAACAGAGTTCACCAGGGGCAACTGACCTAGTTTGGGATGGACAAACTAGCCTGGAAAAGCAAATCTTTCGTAATTATATAAAATTTATGAATAAGTAATTACATGAAAAGTTTTGACTACCTATCATGGGGAAGGAGAATTGCATTGGTGGTGAAGGACCCAAGGCATAGAATTAGGAGCCTGTCATGGGAAAACTGCAAGCAGACTCAATCTACCTGTAGTTCTCCCATGAAGGGGTCCTAATTCCTAATGAATTGTTTGACAGTCAGAGCTACATAGTGAGGGTTTTCCGCAGTGTATAACTGCCAACACTTACGCAACGTTCACTCATTTATTCCTCAAGACAACCACATGAGGATTATCGTCCCTGGAGCCCCACCCCATCCCTCATACCCTTGCATAGCTTGGTGCCCTTCAAAGGAGATCTGTGCATTGAGGGTGGTATGTCCTGACCGTGGCCTTTCAGAATGCATTCATTTACAAATTTCCATACCAAGTTAAATAAGAACTTTTATGGACAAACAGTTGTCCTTTGGTA